CTTCATTGCGGTCAAATTCTGCCAGTTCGTCTTGCATGGCTGTAATCCAATCAGCATGCTCTAATGCTTCCTTGATGGATTTGGGTTCAACCATGGAAATGAATGCTAAAAAATGGCATTCATTTTGAATGTTGGTAGCTGAGCGAGTTTGAACACCAACATTTGGGTTGCCAATCACTTGGTTTGGAGGATGATCCTTCGTCCAAACATGCAATCGAGGGAGTTCTTGTGCAGCGGAGGATCCTATATCAACAGTAGAATTGATTTGCTCCCCCTGAATGATTTGAATATTGGAATGATGCTCCCCCTGAACTTCTGAACCAGAACCAGAGAGGTTTACATCATCACCAGAGGGAAACTCAAAGAAATTCTCATTTTCATCAATGTTGAGAGGATTTGAGTCATCAAAGTCAGCAGCTGCATCTTGGAAGCCATCCACATTTGATTCAAGAGAGGGATTTGCATTATTCTCCCCCTCAACCTGTGAAGGTTGGAACGGTTCAGAATCAAATGGAGGTAGGCTCGGAAGAGGACCGGAGAGGTTGTGAGAAACTGGGGCTTCTAAAGGAGGAATTGGAATCAGAGATGGACGTGATCGTGATTCGGAATCAAGAGCTGTTTCGGAAGGACCAAAGAGAGTTTCAAAGTCAACCTCGAGAATGGTTTGAGGGTTCGGACATCCTGGCGGAGGAGCATCAGACTCCATGATGTGAGTAGTGATGTGAGTGGGGCCAAAATTCCGAACAAAGTTGTCATCAAAGGTAATATCGAAGCTTTCTTCCAGAACACGAGTTCTTCGGTTGAGAACTCTGTAAGCCTTGGATTTGGAAGAGTATCCTAAAAAGATTGCTTCATGAGCTTTAGGTTGGAACTTTGTAAGCTGATCACGGTTGTTTTTGATGAAGCATCTGCATCCGAAGATATGTAGGAATGAGATCGTTGGCTTTCGACCATTCATTGCTTCGTATGGTGTCATGTTGAGCCGTCGATTGATGATGCTTCGGTTTTGAGTGAAGCAAGCGGTGGATACAGCTTCAGCCCAAAGATAGAGTGGAAGGTTTGCATAATTCAGCATGGATCGAGCAGCTTCAACGAGTGTTCTATTACGTCTTTCAACTACACCATTTTGTTGTTGAAGTCAAGATATATTCGAGTTTAAGTGGTATATAGAAGAACTTTTATCCTTAACACAGAAATGGTTGAATTTCCAAGGTAAATTCAAACCAACAATAATCTGATCTTATGGATTCAAAGGACAACCACTCGAGCTCTGATACCAATTGTGAGAACAAGATCTTTGCGCAGGGACAAGGTTTGAGAACACAAACCTTGAGTGAATGCTTGAGATCAATGTCTGCTTAATAATGGATGTTCAAGTCGAGACTGGAAAGACCAGTCAAGTCTTAGATAATCAATTCAACAAAATGATCAAGACATTAATTAAGAACAAGTGAATAGTGATCAGGGTAAAGTTAATAAATGAGGAACAAGAGGAATGTTTTAAATGTAATAAGAGTAAATGCCAAAAATGAGAGAAAAGATCCGTAGTTGACTTGTATTGAATGCTCCTATTTAAAGGAGAGAATGTTACAGCGAATTAACCCAGGTGTTTACATAGGACCGGACAAAAGATATAGTTCTGACATTCTGATTGTCCTAAATCAACATTAGACTAAGTCCTATGAAACGTTACATCAAAATACAAGACAAACGTAATAAATGCATAACAGACAAATTAACTTCATTCCGAACAAGTGATGTTCCGGAGAGGAAAGTTTGGTTCCGAATCGATAAGCATTCCGGACATCAGGATCAGTTCCGGAATGCATTCTTCTTCAAAATTCTTCACTCCCTTTCTTCAGCTCCGGACAGGTTCCGGATCACATCTTCCTTCGGAACTAACAGCCTTCGGAATATGTACTTAGGATTGCTAGAGGTTCACTTTCAGGTTCCAACAAGACTTAGTTGACTAATTTTGACTTTATTTTTAATATTATTATTTTTAACAGACCGGGACAGGAATATCCGTTAAAAATTCATAACTTCTTCATCCGACGTCCGTTTTCGTCAGTCTTTTTACCGTTGTACTACTATTGACGAGACCTTCGATTCTCGTTTAGGTTATGTCGGCTAAAAATCACTCGATCTAAAATTCGAGTTTTTAGCTGTCTACTGCTAAGCTGAAACTTAGAAAAATCATAACTTCCTCATTCGAAGTCAGACTTGGGCGTTCTTTTTATCAAAATTCTCGGTTTAACAAATAATACAAATTTCGTTTAGATTACTAAAGCTAAAAAGTAATTTATCGAAAAATCACTTTTTACGTCATTCGGCGTCGTGCCGGTTTTGTCGCGGATCTTCGATTGGTCATAACTTCTTCGTTATAACTCGGATTTCGATGAGGTTTTCGCCTAAATGTTTCTAACGAGATTGTTTACAACTTTCAATAATAAAATTTTACTTATTTCAAATTTTATATTTTCGTTGAATTTCGATATTTGTCTTTTAATTGGAATCTCATAAGACTTCTAATATTTTCTGATTGATTCTAAACATAGTTTTACTTCATTTCTAGTAAAAACTATCCGTTAGAACTCAATACTCATAATTATATAATATTTCATAATATTATTCACTTTTAAAATTACATAAAACGATAACTGAACGTGTATGTTACAGTGCAACACCCTAAAAATTAGGGTTTCCTTCCCAGGCACCAACTCGCCGTGTTGGTTCATTTAATCCCCACGATTCTTCCCTCCTAAACACATCGAGTTGGTTCCTCCAACTCGCCGAGTTCAACTCGAATTAGGCTTATTCTCAACAATTTCTCCTCAAGATTTCGGGCGTTACAGAGAATTGCTATTGATTTGACTGACTTTTCTTATACATATAGTAATTAATCATTTAATATATATATATATATATATATATATATATATATATATAAGGTGTAGTCTAAAACTTTTTAAAACACAAAGTTTAAATATTAATTATCTAAATTAATCTATAATTAATTAATTTAAATCTATCATGAATTTTATTTAATTAATATTGCAATTAAATGTATTCTTAAATCCATAAGGATAATTCAATTTAATTAATCTTGTATTAAAAATTATCTGTTCCATGATTTATCTCATAATATTTAAGGTTTTATTTTTAATCATATAAGACATTCAAAATTCGGATATTAGCAGAATCAAAACCGGATAATCACTAAAAGCAACCACACTAATCACATTAGGCAGAAAAATCTTGAAATTCGATATCAGGCTGGTGTCACGTCGTGACAGAGAGCATACCATGTCGTGACAAACAATTTTTCGAAAAAAATTTGTTTGTTCAGTTCAAATCATGTATAATCAATGTTAGACAATCTAAAGTTCTGATACCATTGATGTGTTTTATATGTTATAAATACATATACAATGCGGAAAAATCATTTAACATTTAAAGGACACATGCAACCTATAAGGATCTATGTCATAACACTTTGAAGGCAACATACAATGAACAACAAAACTAGATGAACCATAATATAATCGAAATCATGGAGTTAGGGTTACATACATTTGATTTGTTGTAGTAAACAAATCACTTCTATCCCTTGTAGTCGAGGGTCTTGGAAAGCTTATCACCAAAAGGATGATGCCTCTAATATCTTGCACCCAAACCCTATAACTAGAAGACTATTGAGGATAGAGGAGGGATATGCAAATTTCGGCTATCCTTATGGATCAAAGAGTGGTCAAAAATAGGTGACCCAAGGGTCCTATTTATGCCTTCTTCGAAAACCCTAGAACCCTAAGTTGAACATATAATATTAATATTTCAAATCCAAGTAGTTATCTAGTTTCTTTATCATCCGGAGGCTTCTAGAATGCCCTATTAGGGTATCCCAAAACCGTCCATATGGGAAGGCTCTAAAACCCTTCCCTTGTTCAACTTTTGAACAATTTCAGCTTAGCCCCTTGCACTCTCAATTAAAATTAATTAATCCCAAAATTAGTTCTAAATCATTTATGATTAGTTTTTAATTAATTATTGTTATTTCCAGTTAATATATTAATCATATAATATATTAACAAGTTATTTATTACAATTTATTAATTATATAATAAACTAATAAATCATCATCTCTCTACAAATATCATTTTAACCAAGTTGTAGTTATGAGGGCAATACGAAAAAGACTTTGCTTTTAATTACAAGTATATATCAATTTAGTTATGAAATTAGATATCTTAATTCAACAATTATTTTACGATCTATCTAAATTTTATAATCAGTATCCAACATTTTTAAAATAAATAGTCAATTATTATCGAAAATAGGGATGTTACAATTATGTCAACTACACACATATAATTGTGTATTTTAAGTAAATAGGACTATATAAGGATAAACTAAAATAAAAAGATTTATTATATTAAAACAATCTATAAGCTATTTGTTATATTTCATTCTGGTCGAGTTTTAATCCACATTAACCCTTTTGTCATTAGTGACATACCATTAGGTCCATTAAACAAAATAGGACTGTGTCTACCTATTTTAGTTTATAAAACCAAATTTTGCATCTGATCGAAATTTACTTTTATGTTGGTTATGTTTTTTCAAAAATTTAGAATATTTGTTTTTAACTTTTCTACTAAATTTTAAGATATATGTTTGTGTATTTAGAATGGTCAAACATTCCAATAGTCACCTATATATCAAGCTCCGGATTTAAAAAAATAAAATAAATAAACAATTAATTGCTAAGTAATTAATTTAATATATATCATATATTTATTAAATATTTTCTTGTTTAGTTATAAATTTTAATAAAATTATGGTATTTGTTATATATATACTTTTTAATAAACACCCCTCATATGTTTTTAAATTTTGATCAAAAAAAATCTTATGTACATGCGTTGAGTTTTTCTGAAAATACATATTTTTCATCATTCAATTACGGGAAAATGACTTATCAAGGTAATTAATTTTTCAGTATGTTCACATCTGGGTAACTATCTTTTTTTTGTACACATCTATGTAACAAACTTGTTGGAAGTGTTCACATATGACCATTATGACCTGTTGTAGCAGGTTACATCCTAGATGTGAACACTTTTGACAAGTTTGTTACCTAGATGTGTAGAAAACCCAAATATGAACAAAATGAAAAGCAAGAGTAAATTACACGAATGGTCCCTGTGGTTTGAAGAAATTTGTGTTTTTGGTCCTTAACTTATTTTTTTTAACTCGGATGGTCCATACTATTTATTTTTGTTGCGCATTTGGTCCCTATCTTACCTAAAAAGACTATTGTGCCCTTATTAATTTATTTTTTTTATTAATTTTCTTATTTATGTATTTATTTTTATATATTTAAAAAAAAATTAATAGACCCCACATATCTGTATCTCCTCGGATGATCCCTACTGTTTATTTTTTTAACTCGGATGATCCCTACTGTTTATTTTTCTTATGCGGTTGGTCTCTGTCTTACCTAAAAAGACTATTGTACCCTTATTAATTAATTTTTTTAATTAATTTTCTTATTTATGTATTTATTCTTTATATATTTTAAAAAAATGAATAGACCTTACATATTTGTATCTCCTCACCATCACATCTCTCATCCTCCTCAACTTCTATTTATTTTCCATCTTTAGTGATATCGACGTCTTCACCATCCCTTCTTTTTTCGGTCCTTCGACTCCGTCAAATTAACACCACAACCCAGTGAACCCACTAAAGATGAAGAGACATTGGGTTATGGTGTTGGTTCGCCAAAGTTGAAGGACCAAAAAAAGAAACACGGTGAAGACGTCGATGTCACTAAAGATGGAAAAAGAAATAGAAGTTGAGGAGGATGAGAGATAGGATAGTGACCGGTGAGACCCAAATTAAATTTCTCAAATGTGGTTTCAGGTTTACGGTGAGGAGATACAGATATGTGAGGTCTATTAATTTTTTTAAATATATAAAAAATAAATACATAAATAAGAAAATTAATTAAAATATAAATTAATAATGACACAATTGTCTTTTTAGGTAAGACAGAGACCAAATGTGCAACAAAAATAAAGAGTATGGACCATCCGAGTTAAAAAAATAAGTTAGAGACAAAAAACATAAATTCCCCAAACCACAAGGACTATTCATGTAATTTACTATTACTTTTTATTTTGTTCATATTTGGGTAATTATTTTTTTGTACACATCTAGATAACGAAATTGTTGAAAGTGTTCACATCTAGGATGTAACCTGCTACAGCAGGTCATAATGGTCATATGTGAACACTTCTAACAAATTTGTTACCTAGATGTGTACAAAAAAAGATAGTTACACAGATATGAACATACCGAAAAATTAATTACCTTGATAAGTCATTTCTCTACGATTACGTTGGGTTTTAGAGGTCAAATAAGCAGTTATTAAACGTGAATGTTAAATTACTAAAATACCCAGAATCATTTACCAATTGAACCCTAATACCTGTTCTCTCCTCCTCGCCGTCGACCCTCACACTCTTTCGGTTCATCTTCGATCACCGTCTTGCCGGTTGTCTCCATCGTCGTTCTCGATCAGCGTCTCCCCGTCACTCCGTGTATTTGAAACAGGTACGCTCCTGTTTCCGCCACTAGCATAGATCTCTTCCGATGGGTTTTTCTCATTTCTCATTTCGGATTTCGTTTTTGTTTTTTTCTATTTGAAGCTGCAAGTGTTATATTGCTTATTTGTTTTTTACCGTTTGTGGTAGTACCTTGAATTCATAGTCAATGCACGAAAAGTAAGTGCTATCTGTTTGTGTTATTGATTAATCAGATTCCCCAAGGTGTAAAATCTGGTTTTTTTTTTTTTCATTCGATTGATATGAATAAGTGGATTCATATCTAGGTGTGAAGATTTAATTGATATCTTTATCAGTTAAACTAAGATGAAGATAACTGAGAAGGAACTAAAATGAGATCGATTGTAGTCAATCTTAGTGCACTATTGCAATGCCATTTATTTCGTAAAATATGAATCAAATTTAGGAAGATCCATATCACATTTGGATCGTTTTTACTTTTTACAGGTTGTAGTAGGTTAATTTTACAGTTGTAGCTCAAAAACATCACCTTCCAATCTGTTCTTACAGTTGTACACATTATGTGTTTTCTTGTTAATTTTACATAATACATATATTACGGATGCATTCATCTCTCAACTCCGTGTTTAACCTTTTAAAAAGTGTAAACCAGATAAAGAAAAAGCTTTTGACAATGATTTCATGATAAATAATTTTGTGACAATTTTAAAGGTAGGGTGTACTGATTTAGGATAGTTCTAATCTTATATGTATGCATAGTTGCATCCATTGTTGTTTGGTAGTTTTTGAGGTTGTATTTAACTATTTATAGCTTAAAAAAGAAAACATCTATATAATTTTATTAGGAAAAAAATATAATTGTTGAAATTATAGATGATAGTTTTCTTAAATGATTTTATATTTTTATAATTTTATCAATAAACAATTTGAGTAAAACCTATTATTTTCAGTCATAAAAACAAAGTGTTCGTTATTTTGAAAATCTTGATTGCCAAAAACGAAAAGGAAATATGTCTATATTGCAAGTTAGGATGACTATGTTTCCAGAAGTTATATGACATGCTTGAAACATCAGAAGGATAACTACAAACTTTATGATATCATTTTTTATTTTTTATAACTGTTATATAGCTCATATCTTTTAAATTTTGTTCCAACATGAATTTTACCTTCCTTATGGTATACCTTCGATTATCTTAGCTATTTTGGACTTATTTGTTCCAATATAAGTGGTTCAATTTAAAAATCTCTTTATATATGTTTTAAATCTTTCTTCTTACATGAATAACATCATTTAAATTGCACAATCTTCTTCTAGTATAATACAATTTATTATATATCCTTAGCTACAAGGCTTTCATAAAATAACAACCTACTTTATATATGTTTTAAATATTTTATTTGTCTACTGTTCTTTTCCGGTTTCTTTATATTCCCTTTTACCCTTGCTGACGTGGCTTGGTGACTGGGCATTTCTAAGTGTGACACTTTTTGAAGTACAAAAAAAGAACAGTAGACAAATAAAATAAGTACATTGTTATTTTATGGCCTTATCATTTTTCTTTTAAATGGACTATCAAACTCCTATTTCTACTTTTTTTTTGCAGATATCGCGAATGGGCTATTTTTAATCCAGTTAATAAAAAACCGAAGGATTATCCATAAATAATCAGAAATGAGTTTATTTTTAAAGCTTAGGCACCATTTACCCCATGGATTTCACACACGTGCTCCAATAATTTCCTTCACTTCCATAAACTCAACATGGTTGACCAGAAAATTCAGTCAACCCGCAAAACAAACACAAGAAGCCGAAGAAGAAGAAATAGAAATCGACCAAAAACGTCTTCCAACCGATTACGACCCCGCAACATTCGATCCAACCGAACACCGGAGCCCACCAACAGACCGTGTTTGGAGACTCGTGGACGAAATGTCATCGCTCACATTACTCGAAGTGGCCGAACTCTCTTCAATTATGATGAAAAAATTGGGCATGAAAGAGCCGCCGGTGGTGGCGGTGATGAAACCGGGTGCCGCCGGTTTAGCCGCTGCGGGAGCTGGCGGTGGGCAGGCGGCGGCTAAGGAGGAGGTGAAGCCGGAAAAGTCGGTTTTTGAATTGAAGTTGGAGTCGTTTGAGGCGGCTTCGAAGATTAAGATTATTAAGGAGGTTAGGAGTTGTACTGATTTAGGGCTTAAGGAAGCCAAAGATTTGGTTGAAAAGGCACCGGTTGTGTTTAAGAAAGGGGTGAGTAAAGAAGAATGTGAGCAAATAATTGAGAAAATGAAAGGTGTTGGTGCTAAAGTTGTGATGGAGTAGTGAAAAAGTATGATAAATTTGATGTGTTTTTGTTTTGTTTTGTTGTAGGATTTAGTGGCATATTTATAGTTGATGTGTGCTTGTGAACCATTTCTAAAAGGGGGGAATTTGGATTATTTTTTTGAACCCTTTTGGGATGTATGCAAGAGCAAGATTTAATAATGTGATATGCTTCTTTGATGGTGTTTTGGTTGCTGATTTTGGTATACGAAATAACTTTAGTTACTTTTGTTGAACATATGTATACAAATAAAAGCTATTTGTAGGTATAAATTTGAGAGTATAAGAAACTAGTAATAATTGGTTTTTGAATGCTTGACAAACTGATACCACATTCAATTTTTTGATTTTTTAGAACAAAGAAATGATTACAACTTTCAACTTTGCAATTATGTATGTTACATTGTATATAACGTCATGACGTTATATTATGGCAAATAAATTATAATTATTGGTCTATTCTTGCATTTAATTTAAATTGTTTTCAAATAAATTATAATTATTAATTTATTCTTGTGCGGTTTTGATTGATGGGCCATGGATTTAATGCTTGATTGGGATAGGAAGAGAGAGTATGAAAATGATCCCAATGACCTTTCAAACTATGTACTTTCGAAAGTATTTTCTCACATGGATCAACAAAGACTACACCTACCATATTTATGAACACTTTTATTTCACAACCATTTTTTTTCATATTTCCTCAAACTTAAAACTTTCTAAATTTAGTATGTTCTCATTTGTTTGATCAAATGAGTTGCAAGCACTACGCATTTTATACGTATCTTGTTTTGTCAAGTGATGTTGTTTTATTTTTAAACAATTAAAAAGAGTTTTGAATTTTTTGTTCTTTGAATGTTTTTTCTTGATATAATGTTTATATTAGGACATCCTCAACGAGGGTTAAATGAGAAAAGCTGAATGAAATATCAACTAGGAGAGAAAATATGTATATTCTATTTAATTCATGAAAAACCTATAAGTTTACACTAAATATCTTATCATACGTTTAATCCCTATTGAACTCCACCCGATATCTCTTCCATATTATATTCAATTTAATTATATTAAACTCATATTCAATTTCCATTATGAATGCTCTTAGTATTATTACCAAATTAATATATATAAGAAATGAATCTTAGGAATAGTGAACTTGACATTTTTTTGGCAGAATTGGTCCCTGTACTATTGTTGGGCTTCAAACAAGACATTTTTTTGGCAGAATTGGTCCCTGTACTATTGTTGGGCTTCAAACGATCGGGTATCACTCGAATCAAACAAGACATGAGCAGACATACCATTGACCAAAAAGGTCCCTATGCAAGCATAGATCACTCATAAGTCATAAAAAAGTAATATAGGCAGGGAATATTAGGTACGTACCAGCTACAACATCTGGCGCTGCTCGAGCCTCTTCGGTGGTCAGCTGAATCGCGCGACTCTTAACTACTGGGGCTTCCACCTTAGCAGGGCGACCATCGGTAATCCTCATTGTGGTGGGCGCAGGCGCCGCCACCGCTCCTCCTCCTCCCTGCGACTTCGGACAGTTGACTCGCTTATGGCCGGTCTGGTTGTAGTGAAAACAGATTAAGCCCTTCGCGGGGCAGTCCCTGATCATATGGCCCTACTGGCCACATGCATAACATCCCGAGCCTGCGATACGACAATCTCCACTGTGTACCCGGCTACACTTGGCACATTGGCCCCGACCCTGCTGACCCTTGTTGGGAGTGTCTGACGTCTTAGGCTTCTTAGCCTGTCCTACTGCTGCCAGAGCCTGCTCAGGCTTCCGCTTCGTACGGGATTCCAACTCCATTTCCCGTTCTCGGGCCTTCTCCACCATTTCATTCACGGTCTTGCACCCCGTAAAGCTCACAAACTCCCGAATATCGTCCCTCAGCATGGAATGATATCAGGTCCGCCTCATCTCCTCATCGATAGCGTATTGCGGAATCAACAAAGCTCGTTCCCGAAACTTGGCGGTGATCTCTGCCACCTTCTCGGTAGTCTGCTGTAAGTCATGAAACTCCCTTACTAGCCTTTGCACCTCAATAGGTGGTGTAAACTCTGCATCAAATCGCCGAACGAACTCGACCCATGTTATTTCAGCCACTCCGGCTGGTCCCACCTGGCGAGTAACCTCGCCCCACCAATCCCGTGCCCTATCCCTCAACATACATGAAGCAAACCCAACCTTTGCCGCATCCGGGCAGGAACTCGTGCGCTGGGCGTTTTCAATATCTGCCACCCAGCGTCGGCTGACAATAGGGTCCCTGACCCCGAAGAACTCAGGCGCCCCACACGCCTTGAACTCCCGGAACGAGGGAGTTCGGGCCCCCGACTGGCCCACAACAATTTCAGCCCTAGATGATCTGAGTCTCTCCTCCATGATTTCCATTATGCCCTCCTTGACCGTCCCAAAAATGAATGGGGTAGCATCAAGGATGCCCCTGGTAACCTCGGTTGCAATAAGCTCACGCAGCCTCTCATCTATGTCGTCTGTAGTGTCACCCGATCCATTCCCGGATCCGGATCTCGATCCTGATCCTCCCGCTTCGAAACGTGTCACCACCATGCTGAACTGGAATGTCATAAATCATAACGATCAGGATTTCCATAAAAGTGATCTCCCCACACCGGTCCTCCTTGAAGTCGTCAGATCTAACATTGGTTCGGGTACATGTCCTGTGCTTTAAGTAGTACGGGCCCAATACTACCTTCCACACCTACCTGTACCTTTCCCCAATGCTCTACCTGATAACCCCCAATTCGTCCCAAAACCAAACCATATTCCAGAGACTACTCATACATCAATCTCAGGCTATCCTAAGATTTTCTCTACTCATATCAATCAGACCAATCATAACAGGTTGCCTTTATGCATGCAAATTATACACAGAAAAGGATCAAATATACTTTCGAATAAAAGATTCTACCCTAGGACCACAACCAGACAAGGAACAGGAAATAAGGCCAAATCAATCATTCTAAGGCTATAAGCTCCTAACCGTATATAATTTTAAAAGCATACACATAGCAAGTTCCATACGATCATCCAAGTTCAAATATCAAAATAACATGGCTAGCACATTGGGGAACTACTTACTTGGCTCGGTTGATCACGCGCGTTGCACTCTCATATTTTCCTTCTTTCAAAAGCTTTTTATGTCATTTTTTGAAAACAAATTTACCATTTCCTTAGTTTGAGTCCTGACACACCCGAGAGTATGCCTGAATCCCTCAAACCAAGGCTCTGATACCAACTTGTAATGACCCAAATTTTACAAAGAAATTTTTCATTTTTAATTAGTCAACCATATTTCATAAAACATGAAAATCCCAATAATTGTTTTCAAAACCACCAACATTACAACATTATTATTTTCAAAACATCAGAGTGTCCCCCAAGCCATATCGGAAAAGAGAGATAGAGTGCACGCCGCATCATCACGCCTTGCCTTTGCCTTTGGGCTCCGATGTACCTGAAACAAATCCACAGACGGTAAGATGAAAGCTTAGTGAGTCCCCCAGAGCATACCCCACACAAACCACATATCATATTAGCTATAAAAGCTATTTCTACCACTATCACACGTCAATTAGCTATGAAGCTATCTCTACCGTTAGCCACAAGGGCTATCTCTACCGTTAGCCACAAGGCTATCTCTACCATCAGCCATAACGACTATCTCTACCTTTAGCCATAAGGTTATCTATACCATTTGCCACAAAGGCTATCTCTACCGCATATCATGCAACATATATATCACACCTCTACATAGCAAGTAAACCAACTAACATAAAATGGGTCGGCCTTGGTGCCTTAGACCCATTGGTATGGTGAGAAAACTCACCTCACAAAGCTGAACCGACAACTGAATTCAGGTATGTCCTACGCTGCTCCTCCCAAACTGCCTATAACCAATAAGTAAATAATCTTAACTCAGCCCCTAAGGCTCCTCTGAGTCAAACCTGGTCAAAGTCTAGGTCTGTAGTCAAGGTCAACAGTCCATATTGACCTTGCCTCATCGAGTGCAATCAGCCACTCATCAGGTTCCCTGCTTAACTCATCTACTCGCCGAGTCATCCGAGAGACTCGTCGAGTTCCTTGATGTTTACGGCCGTAAAATCCCAACCGAACACCCTTGACCGTGAACCCTTGGTCGTGAACCCTTGACCATGAACGAGGAAACCCTCTCGACTCGCATATTCTCTTGCACGACTCGCCGAGTCCCCTTAGTCCATTATGTTTACGTCCTTTTCCAGTGGGACTCAAGGTCCCAAACTTCATATCTATCCTCTACTAGTGTAGATAACACGTAAAGTTGCAAACTTTACGTGCATGCAAGGCCTCACATGGCCATAACACCAAGACTAACCTTCAAACAAGGTTTTCATGCATGGAGAGGGAATAAGCTTAATAAAAGGTGCAACTTTATGATATTTGGGACCTAAGGAGGTCCAGATATGGAATCATATCCTTGTGATAGGTCTAGATCTAAGTTTGCTTCCATCTCCTCAAGGTTGGCCATAACCTCCAAACAGAAATCAAAGCTTAAGGTAGCAGATTAATACCTTAGACATATGTCCAACACGAAATAGATGCTTGATCTAATACTTCTCCCTTGACACTTCCTCTTCAAACTTGGAATCCTCCCCAAAATCTCAAAGATAAGCTCCCAATTGTTCTTACTTCACACACAAGAGGGTTTGCGTCCGTGAACGTTCTTCTATGGTGTTAAGGGAGGCTACTAGGGTTTATAATGATGTTTATATAGGGGGCAAACCCCGAAACTAGGATTTTCTTTAAACAACTCTGACTCGCCGAGTTGGGCCTTCCGACTCACCGAGTCAGTTCCGACCCGCGTCCAAGATGTCACGACCCTACTCGACGAGTTGATCTCCCAATTCGCCGAGTCCATGCATAAATCCTCCCCAAATTGGCAACTTTCCCACCAATACCCGAACCAGGTGTTACAGTGGAGCATGGGGGAATA